TTTGCCTTCGATGAGCCCTTGGGTCTGTCTTTTTTATCCCTCAAGCCCCTGAGACTTTGAAAACTAAATTTCAATTTTTTTAGGTGGGCCAATGCCCTGAAAGTAAAAGATGTATTCATTGTACTACTCATTTCTCTGAGTCTTCACCTTCATTTTATTTTTAGTTTGAGTATTCCTTTCTTTTTTTGACAACTCACAGACACATTTAAATATTTTTATATTATACCCAGCATTTTTAGTTGTTTTGCCAGAAGATTAGTCTGGGCACTTAGTCTGACATAGTGCTGGAAATGCAGTTTGCAGTTCTTGTTTGTAGGCTAGTGTAAACTTATTCATGATTTCATCTTACTGTCCAAGGCTGATACACCAGCAATTCTTTCACCCTATCTCATCTTTTTGGGTTCAGCATGTTCCCATCTCCATTATTGTAGTCACTATGATAAACTCAGTCGGATTGAAGAATTCTGTCTTGTTTAATAAGTAAATGATATTTTCTCCCCACCTCCCTTTTTGTTCTTCCCCCAGATAATTAAATGTATGCTATTATGTACACACTTTTTATGATAAAATCAATGTGAGTTATTTGGAAGAAAGTTGGACAAATTCTCATTATCTGAGAATGGCACCCATACTATGGAAAATCTTGCTTTCGAAGTTACCTTTATCATGTGGAATACTATGTTTAATGATAAGCACTTAGTACACTTCCTGATATATAGAATATATTTGTAAATGTTTATTGAATAAGTGAAGTAACTTTTAACTTGTTTAACATACATTTCTCACAATTGTAGGACAAAATTTAAAAGCAAAACATTAATTTCTGCTCAGAATTTTGGTATTTCCTACTAATTTCAGAGATGAACTATCTATTCCCTGCTCAGGGAATGTAGAGGAGGAATCCCTTTAGGTAGTGGACTTAACATCATAGAGAAGAAATTGGACTGATTCTCAGCTTTTCCTCAGGTCAGATACTTACCGAGGACATATTATAATTTTTGACATAGGTATCTGGTCCTTCTGGTTTCATTCATTTATTCATTAAACATTTACTGATTTTTATTCTGTGAGTAATAAAAGATAAATAGTCCTTGCTCCCAAGGAACTCTAAAATCTAGGAGAGAAGACAAGTTAACTCTTCCAGGAGTTTGGAGCCTGGTGGTGCAATCAATGGTTAAGAGCTACGGCTGCTAACCAAAAAGTCGGCAGTTCGAATCCACCAGCTGCTCCTTGGAAACACTATGTGGCAGTTCCACTCCCTCCTATAGCATTGCTATGAATAGATGGCAATGAGTTTAGTAGGAGTTAACATGGTATCAGGGTAGTTGTACACAAATCTTATAGTAATAGTTAAACTTTAGAAAGTGCTTACTATATGCCAGACTCTTAAATGCCTTACATGCATGTTCTCAGTTAATCCTCCATACAGTATTATGAGGTAAGGTACTACTACTTTTCTCAAGGCACAGAAAGCTTAAGTAAGTTGCCCAAGATCACAGAGAAAGTTCAGTGTTGGAACTCCAGGCAATCAGAGTCCACGTGCTTGTCTCATACTCTACCACTTCCTTGAAGAGGAACATAAACACCTGTGTCGAAGTCAAGTCCTCTACCAAAGGGCTTTATATTATTATTATTATTATTATAACTTGTTTTAACACTGTGGATAATTGAGAACTGAGTGTAATAGACCTATTGTTTCTATACTTCCACTAGCAAATAGGAGTGTCATTAGTGTAACATGAGGCTAGCTCCATGAGGTTATAGATTATGTCACTGGTGAAATAGATTCAGGAGGCTAAATCCTTTACTATGAAATAATACCACCTTCCTGTTAAACAACCACTTGCCATCAAGTCGATTCTGACTCATGGTGACCCTGTGTGTCAGAGTAGAACTGCAATCTGTAGGCTTTTCAATGGCTGATTTTTTGAAAGTAGATAGCCAGGTCTTTCTTCTGAGGATCCTCTGGGTGGATCCAAACCTCCAAATTTTTGGCTAGCAGCTGAACACATTAACCATTTGCACCACCCAGGGACTCTATCTTTCTATCAGTAAGAGGAAAATAAGACATCCTGCTCCTCAGGAGATCATTGTACTCCCTAGCTAACAATTTATCCTCCATTGAGATAGAGAGGGGACTGATTACGTGTTTTCTCTGAAAGTGGATACTGAAAGTACATGAAAAATAACCACGTCAGCTGCACGAGAGAGGAGTGAAGGCACCAGGGCTGAAATGCATGTCCTTTTAACATTTCAACAATTTTTTTTATTCTAAGCACAGCCCTGCTGTAATGAATGATGAATTGTCAATATTCTTATCGTTTGAAAATAAACCACATTAAGAATTCTTTTTTCCCTCCAAATTAAGTCCAAATGTTTCTGGCATCTTTTTCACAGCTTTCTGTGATGTGGATAATGTGTCTCTGTGCTGCTCGGTTTTACCCCTGGCTCTTCCCAATAACGTGGTGACTCTGGGAAGGTTACTTAACTTCTGTGGGTCTAGTCATTTATCTGTAAAATGGACATGATAGTAGTACCCATTTCATACGGTTGTTGTAAGGAGTAAATGAGATGATTTCTGTAAAGCACCTAGAAGAGTGCCTAGCATACAGCAAACCTTATTAAATGTGAGGTATCTAGTGTGAGAAATAGGAGCTAAGGACCATGAATTTGGGGAGAGATAGGTGAAAAAAAAATTAAAAGTTCAAATTAGTAACTGTGGAATTAGAAACACATGCTATTTGAACAGAATATATTGAGAAAAATGAAAATGTACCTTGATCTTACAATTTGATAAGTCTGTTTGGTCATTAGGAAAACTATAGAAAAAGCCTTTACACAAATTTTTTAAGGTGGTTGCCAAACTCAAATTAATATCCTCCTACAAAACTATTATTGTAGTTAAAAAATTAGGAAACAATTTGCATTTTGGATACATAAACACATCCAATACATGTTGTTAGTTGCCCTCGAGTTGGCTCTGACTCAGGGCGACCTTGCCTATAACCAAAGGAAACCTTGCCCTGTCCTGCGTCACCTTCGTGATCACTGGTATGTTTGAGTCCATTTTTGCAGCTATTGTATCAATCCATCTCGTTGAGGGTTTCCCTCTTTTTTGTAACATTTTCATTACAAAAATGAGGGCGCCAATGTTAATAATTCTGAGTACAAATTGGTTTTTGTCAAAAAAAGGAATAAATGTTTTGTCATTTCTTCCAAAATACTGTCAAATATATTTTAGGGTGATCATTGTATAAACTCTGAAAAAAACAAAGCAGACAAGAGAAGTAAAAATATATGATGTTTTATTGTCAAAAATAGACAAACTTTAATTTCCTTTAACAGGAATATTAAGAGTCTCCATAAGCCATCACCATTTTGTAAGCACAAAAGACAAGAAAGTCAAAGACAATTGTTAGTGAAAAAAGGCCAACAGTTCTATATCCATGCTAGAGAGACCTCAACCACGACCACAGTGACTCTGCAACAGCTACAGAAACACAGTGACCTTTAAAGCAGTAAACAAAAATAGACACGCAAAACAAAGTTGACTTACTCTGGCCCAAATCCCTATGAAGTTCAGCTTTGTGGTATCTTTCTAAGCATCTGAATTTATGAGAACACTTGCTAATTTTACATCACTTATGGGATCAGGAACAGGATCACGAAGAGGATCACACCCCCTTTTGAATAACACCAGGGTAAGGGCATCTGTCTCTACAACCCTGGCCTCAGGTAAAGTAGTGCCAATGCTTGGGCAGGAGACCTGAGTAAGTTCCTTTTCCATGACCTACAGCAAGGGTGTGAAGGTCATGATGAACTGGACATTGTCTTGTGGAGGTTAAATTCTCTCATTACCAAACAAAAAATAAAATGGATAATGACATAGCTAGTTGGAACAAAAAACTAAGGCCTTTATTGTTTTCTTAGGGACAGTATCCAGGGTTGAACCAAGCTGGGTGTGTGCACAGTATCTAGACCATGATTCTCACTCTCCAGTCTGTACTATAAACCAGATCTCCAAAACTTTAAAAGTAGTACTGTGCAGCTACTTCCTTTGAAGGTTTGCGTTAAGAAGGGATGTCTCAGTTCTCAGAAAAGACCAGAGACGAGATAACACTGACATGGTGAGATGGCTCATCTGAGGTTAAGCATATGCAATATTAACCTAGACTGGATTATCAAAGAGCCTAGATTATCAAACAATAAGAAAGGAACTGGATCTGAGAACTCACTCCCCTTCCCCATCCGTATTCACCATACACTCAATGGAACAGTAATCAACTACACACAAAAAAAAAACCAGTTCAACATTTTCCATTTTTCTAGTTTAAAGACAACATTCAATATAAGCTTGAGAGCTTATATTGTATCATAACATCATTTAAAACAATTACTATCTCTTCAAAACAGAAGCATGGGGAGGATGCAAAAACACAGCTAAGTAGTTCTGTTGTCTTTGTGACATTTTTTATTTACTCTTGCCTAGAGTTAAAATTTTAATTAAAGGTGCCTACTTAATTCTACCCTGCTGTGTAAGAACCCTTCAAATTTGAGTAGGGGCTGGAAACTGGTGGTGTGGGCTTCTGGAAGTTTTGACTGGCTAAAAGTCATTTAGTGAGATTCTGTGATTGAAAGGATCACTATGAGAACTTAAACCATATTAAAATCTAAACTAGGCAATGTTGGTGTACAGAGTGTCTGAAAAAGTTGTTCCGTCAAATACAAAATTGAAGTGGATTGTTTCCTTTCTTTCCTTATTCCATTCCATTCTGTAGAAAATGTGATACAGGCATAAATACACACTTTATTGTGTCATTTTTCAAAAGTCACAAAATCAACCCTTTAACTAGGGCTGCTGTGAAACACCAAAGGAAGATGAACTAAATTTGGGGTTTCTGGTTGAGGCTGGGAAAACTACAAATGACTTTAACTGAGCAGCTGCATAGTTTTATTACCCAATCATAAAAAGAGCCTTTAAAAAATTTTTTTTTTTCTTTTTAGCTCTCTTCAATGACTGTTGTTCCAATCAACGAGTAAAGCTTTTTCTTAACAAGCCGAAATCCTGAGCTGAGTATCAGAGTTCTCCTGAGGCCAGATGAGAAGCGAGCTCTACTAAAGAAAAAGTCCCTGAAGCTAGTCCACGAGCAGTTGTCCTGCTTAAACACCAGTGTAAGCTCAAAAGTAGGCACCACACTAGAATCACACACAATCCTATCCAGCTTTTTACATACATTTTCAATTTCCAAGTTCACGTGCATAACACAACCTCGCAGGCCACAGGGCTCAGTGGAGGAAAGCCGCAGGACATCTTGAGCAATTCTCTGGGTCAGTTTCTCAGGGACAAGGACCTTTGAGCAACCGAGTTTGGTTTGCTTTGATTTGGACAGACAGTTTTCCAGCATTTTAACCAAACTCTGGCAAGTTGTCTCCTCAAATATCACCTCATTGAGGTTGGGTTCAGGAACAACATAATCCCAGTAGTCGAAATCTGTAAGAAATGGAAATTTAAGATAAAAAAGAAAATTGAAACCCAAGAGCAGAAAAAACACACCAAGATACCAACAGTGGTTACTTCTATCTACCATGTCTACCTGCTTCTAGTATTTTTTTTGGCAGTCAGCTGACCTGACTTTGCGGTTAACTGGGTACATAACAGAGCAAGTCATTTAAATGGAGATTAAAAGTTCATCCATGAAATAAAGGTTTTGATAAATAGGCTAGATAGAATATACCCATTTCCCTTTGAATTTATATGTGTATACACACAATCTTAAAGACTGTGTAAAAAATCTAATGGTGGTTATCCCAAAGTATAGAGACTATTAGTGATTTTTCTTTTTTTAGGAATTTTTCACATGCTGTAATGCAGTAAGAGTTGTTTTCTCATGCGAGTTCAATAAAATATTTTCTCTAATTTCTCCATCACTGACAGTGAAAACATCTTCAAAATAGTCTTCTTCCATTCATTTTCTTTTGCTTGCTTATTTGCTTACAGGGGTTTTCTAATTTTGTTTTATGAGAACAAGCATTACTTCTGAAGTAAAAATGGTTCAGAGCTTTTTTTAATTGGACTATGGGACTGTAGTCTCCTCTTAGAATATATGCATTTATTGTAAAGTACAGAATTTTTACTATTCTTTAAGTTTATCATGCGCTTGATTAGCTGTATTAAATGTCTATCATATCTCTGTGTCTTTAATAGTCTTCACTGGAATGTCCTACAGATTCGAATTTTAGCTTTAATTTCTTTGATCAAAAATTGCTAGGAGAAGAGAAGGCCTTTGAGGTTCACAGGAATATTTATAACTGGCTGGGTAGTTTTTCTTAGCCAAGCAAAACAAAACAACCCTAGGAAAACAAAATTAGATTTGCTCAAAGGAAAAGAGATAGCTCTGCAGTTGGTCACCTACCTCCCAAATTAATCCTCCCACTTGGCAGGATGCCACACCACACACAGTCCACCCAGCAGGCAAGTGGCCTGCAGGCTCTCCTCCCTAAGCGTACTTCACCTTCATGGGCTACTATGTTTTCCTCTATCTAGATCATGGGGTCACTTAGATCACCATTTCATAACTAAACGAAACAAATGCACTACACATTATAAGGGCTCCACAATTTACCTAAGTAGAAAAAAGAAAATTTTAGAGCTATTGAATTAGATAATCAACCATTTCGCTTTCTAAATTAGGAAGGCCCACATAGCTCAAACAATTTATCTGTGGTTGCATAAACCTTTAGTGGCAGAGCAGTGTGTTAACTTAGAAACTGTTATTTAAAACTGCAAACGGCAACACGACAATATGTCATATGACAATATGTTAGTACCACTGCTGTTAACAAGTTCCCTTCTGTCATTAAAAATGGAATAATAGGTATATGCACAAATAGACTACTACTCAGCAGGGAAAAGGAACACACGCTGATACATGGAACAACATGGATGGAGCTCAAAACATTACGCCGTGGGAGAGGTGCCAGATAAAAAGAGTACATGCTGTACAATTCCATTTATATGAAACTCTAGAGGAGAAACTATAGTGACAAAAAGCAGATCAGTGATTGCCTGGAGAGGGGAAAAGGGGAAAATTTATGGCAACTGGGCACACGAGCCCTGGTGGCAGTGAGTAAGAGCATGGCAGCTAACTAAAAGGTCAGCAGTTTGAATCCACCAGCTGCCTTGGAAACCCTATGGGGCAGTTCTACTCTGTCCTAAAGGGTCCCTATGAGTCAGAACTGACTCGATCGCATCGGGTTTAGTTTTGGTTTGGGCACATGAGAATTTCTGGGGAGAGTGATGGTGGTGTTTACACAGGTGACATTTGTTAAAACACATATTTCAAAAAACAAACAAACACCCGTTGCCATCCTGTTGATTCTGACCCATAGCGACTCTAGAGGACGGAGTAGAACTGCCCTATAGGATTTCCAAGGAGAGGCTCCTGGATTTCAACTGCAGACCTTTTGGTTAGCAGCCGTAGCTCTTAACAACTGCGCCACCAGGGCTCCAAAAACACATTACTGTGCACTTAAAATCACCTTTACTTCACAAGTATACAGGGTTGGGGACCTATTTAACTTTTAATCCCAAAGAGTCTATTAGCAGAGAAGCATGCAGCTCACGGGTATTTTCATTTTTGTTGCTTTTATTTTTATGATGGAGACCTGGCGGTGCAGTGGTTAAGAGCTCGGCTGCCAACCAAAACGTCAGCAGTTGGAATCCACCAGCTGATCCTTGGAGACCCTATGGGGCAGTTCTACTATGTCCTATAGGGTTGCAATGAATCCGAATCGACTCGATGGCAACGGGTTGATTTTAAGTTTACTATGCACAAAAGATGCTCGAAAGTTTGGAAAGGTATCTCCTCAGGTGGATTTTGTGGCATCCTCTACACCGAGGACGGGAGTGAAGCTGCACGCCCGCCAACCCCCCGATCTACAGAGGGACTGCGATTTTTGTGGGGGGAGACGGAAGTAGGGAGCTGGGAAACTCACCACTTAGCAGGCTCCCCAGGTGGAAGCCATGGTCCAGCAACTCAGAAATGCTGGCCGAGTTCTTACTGCTCAAACTGCCAGTTGCAACCATAGTCAACGGCTCCGTTTCCCTCGCGGAGCGGAACGGCCTTTCCGGGGAGCTGGAAAGAGAAGGCGAGAAGGAGAGATTGGTGAAAGTAGGCAAGACGTGCAGAGGCTCCTAAAATGCTCAGCGTCGCCGGAAAGAACTAGCCGAGGCACTCACTTCCCAAATGGGGAGGAAGCAGCGTCTGCAACTAAAGTTTACAAAACCTGGGGAGCGGAGACGCCAACTACAACCACAACCCGAAACCACTTCAAAGTTAGCAAAACTTGGAGGTAACTTCTCCTGCGGAGTTCGCCCCCGCGCCCCCAGCAGCGGGAGCGCCCGTCCCCTCCCCCACCAAGGCCGCGGCGTCGCTCACCTGCTGGGACTTTGCAGGGGCAGGTGCTGGAGCCGACGCACTCGCTGGCAGTGCTGTAGGGTAAATACAGCCTGGCACCCGCCTCAGTAGCCCCTTGGCACTGGCACCCAAGCAGCTATCGGCACCCTGCTCGCCCAACCCCCAAGCCCCCCCACCCGGCGCCTCGGCCAGCTCCCCGGAGCAGCATCGCCTGGGGCAGGGAGCATTTTATACGTCCACCCCACCCCGCACCCTGTCCGGCCCGCCCACCTGCACCGCCCCGCTCCGACCCTCTGCTCCGCCCCGCCTGGGCCCGGTTGCATTTCAACCCCGATAGTTAGGCCCAAGGCAAGCCGCTGGAATTTGAGAATGACCCTGGGGTAGGGGTGACACCTGCTTTTTCCTGGGTGGACTACGGTCACCGTGGCCACAATTCTGGGTGCACAACTCGTCAGAGACTGACTACCTCTCTCTGGCCACCAAATTGGCTTCTTTGGGGCGACCCCTCCCCCTGCGCGCGCGCGCGCGCGCGCGCACAGGATTCACGTTGCTGGTTCTCTTGTTAAGATGCTGCCCCGGGCAGCGCGAAGCTTTACGCCCCTTGTTTATTACCATGACCTGAGACTTTGCTGTGTCATTCTCAACGCTTCGCTTATGTCCGTTTTGATGTTCAATGCGCATCACTTATGCATTTACTTCTATTGGCTCTACCCCGCGCCCCAGGGTTTCTCCAGCTTCCTCACCATGCGGTGAGGTCTAGCTTTCCTTTCCTGGCATCGAAGGCTCGCCAACGATTTAGGAAGGGTCTTAATGACCCCCTGCACTCCCGGGCTCCCCAGCAACCTTCGTGCGGTTACATCTGTGACTAATGAGTTTTCTCCGCGGGAAGGGTGAGCCTGGCACTCTTCTAATTAGACCTGACCCCAGAGCGCGAGGAGCTAGGATGAGGGGGAGTTTGCCAGGAAATTAAAACCATTAGTGAGATCTTAGCTGCTGCTTCCACTCGTCGGCTTGCTGGGAGCAATTGTCATTGCCAGAGGCAGAAGTTCTTAGAGCCGTGTTAGGGGGAGGAATTTCGTTTCTGGCGATCTTGAAGGGCCTTGGGGAGCGAACATAGTTCTGTATCCCTAGCGGGATAATCCCTGCGAGGCTTGGTGTGCAGTCCTAAACACGAGCTCATAGAGACACAGAGGAGCCACGGAAAGAGTCAGCATGCTCATACAACCTATAAGCAAGAAACCAAAGATGATTTTTTCTTTCCAAATTACTAAATCACTCTCTTCCCTCTTTGGTGTGCCAGTCGGAAATGATCTGTTCCGAGTGGGCATTACCACAGACCGGGGGTAGGTCAGGTTGTTGGCAGGGAGATGAAAATGTGGGGATGCCTGGAGGAGGAAGACTTCTGTAAGTAGAAGGTTCTAGTCTTGGTTCCCTGGCCCTTTAGGGTTCCACAGAGCAAGGACTGCACGTTAGGACCCTGAAAGGCGGTTTCAGCTGTTCAGGTTAAAAACTCTTAGCAAGAAAAACAACAGAAGGGTTAAGGAGGGTGTGATAAACAGATCAGTGGAAGGACATTCGGAGGCAAAGCAACAGAAATTAAAGCCAGCTTGACAGTCCATTTTTAACTCAGCGCAGGCAGCTCCACTGCTTTGAAGGTCAGCGGAGCTAGGGAAGCGGATGCTGATAGGCTGATCTTGGAAAGCAGATTTCCACTTCTATTTCAATAACAGAAAAGTGGAAAATAAACAAACCAATTTAAGCCGATTAAAAAGTAGTTTCAGTGGCTACTGTGTTAGGACCAATGGATGGATCCCTGGTCAGGTCTCAAATGCCAGCTGCCTGGCAGTCTATCCTTTGGCAGGTCACAGACTCTCCTTTTCTTACCTGAGCAGCATTAGTAATGAGGTTGCCTCTTACCTGCCTTGAAGGAGAGTTATTAGGATTAATAAAATGAATGGTCTGAACCTACACCGGAGGGGGGAAAATCACCCATGTTAATTTCCTTAGGGTATTTAGGCATAATTCATAAACTGAGTATAACTCCAAAGGGCAAGAAAGATTATTAAAACTTCTGTAAAGTAGCAGCTACTCTTGGCTCTCCTGACAAACTGATAGTTTGTAAAGTCCTTTGGGTTTTCTTGGCAGAAAACAATTTACCTATTGTCTTAGTCATCTAGTGCTGCTACAACAGAAATAGCACAAGTGGATGGCTTTAACAAGGAAATTTATTTCCTCACAGTTAAAGTAGCTAAAAGTCGAAATTCAGGGCATCAGCTTCAGGGGAAGGCTTTTTCTCTCTGTAGGCCTTCTTCTCTTCGGTGTTCCCCCGGTCTAGGAGCTTCTCTGCGCGGGGACCCTAGTCCGAAGGACGCGCTCTGCTCCCGGCACTGCTTTCTTATTAGTATGAAGTCCCCCTGTCTCACTGCTCACTTCTGTCTTTTATATCTCAAGAGATTGCCTCAGGACACAATCCAGTCTTGTAGATCAGGTCCTGCCTTACTAACACAACTGCCACCCATCCTCCCTCATTAACATCATAGAGGCAGGTTTACAACATCCAGGAAAATCACACAGTACCAGGAATCATGGCCTAGCCAAATTGATACACACATTTTTTGGGGGACATAATTCAAACCATGACACCTATGTACAAAAGGCTTCTAATAATAATATTCTTTTCTGCTGAATGGGACTTGCTCTCAGGAATTATAGACCATAAGGTATGATGAGTGTAGAACACCTACCGGGAATAATTAGTGGAGATTGATCTTTTAAAAATCTTTCTAAAAGGATAAAATATGCATTCTGTCACCAGTTCAAATCTTTGCATGATTAAATAAACAGAGCGGATTTTTTTTAAAAAATAAGCATAGAACAGAATTAGGGAAAACTAAGTGTCATGATAGTCTTGTGATGAGATGACAGACACAGTCTATGTTTGCTTTTCTTAAAATGTTTTAGAAATAGTTAATCATTTGTAAGTGAAAGTTTACTGCATTGGTATACTTTAGTGGTTTATCAGGGGCTTTTATTATATCCTTTTGAATTAATACTGTAAAAATAGTTTGTTGGGATTGTCCTAATTATCTAGAGCTGCTGTAACAGAAATACCACAGGTGGATGGCTTTAACAGAGAAATTTATTTTGTCACAGCCTAGGAGGCTAGAAGTCTGAATTCAGAGCACCAGCTCCAGGGAAAGTCTTTCTGTCTCTGTCAGCTCTGGGGGAAGGTCCTTGTCATCAATCTTTCCCTGGGCTAGGAGCTCCTCAGGGCAGGAACCCCAGGTCCAAAGGACATGCTGTGCTCCCGGCGCTGCTTTCTTGGTAGTATGAGGTCCCCATGTCTCTCTTCTCTATTTTATATCTCAAAATAGATTGACTTAAAGCACAACCTAATCTTGTAGGTTGAGTCCTGCCTCATCAACATAACTGCCTCTATCCCCACCTCATCAACAGCACAGAGGTAGGATTTACAACACATGGAAAAATCATGTCAGATAACAAAATGGTGGATAATCATACAATACTGGGAACCGTGGCCTAGCCAAGTTGACACACATTTTTGGAGGACATGGTTCAATCCATAACAGGGGTGCATACCGGGAATAATAGTTTTATTTGAATACAATATCTAATTGGTTAAGTAATTTGATTGCCTTTCATATGCCAATATATTATAGCAAATCACCAAAATCATAAGCAAGACCTTTAGCTTAAGCATACTTGCTTTTTTATTACTATGAAGATTTACTCATCTGCCTTCTTGCAAAAAGAAAAAAAATCAATAAAAAATGGCAACAGTGTGTTCATCTGACAAATATGCAAATATGTAAGTTCCATGTCTCCTCATGTATAAATATAATATTCATGATATCATTGCTTACATAAAGCGTAAATTCAGAATGCCAGGAATATTGCAAAAACAAAAACAAAAATGGAGATTTAATGTATTATTATAGGAAATGCTGGCGTCTTGTGAATTCATGATTTGGATTGTTGAACATTTATGACATATTTCACCGGCCAATTTTCTCTCCTTTTCCAATATGAGTCATTGTTTCTAGACTCTTATTAATAGGTTTACATTCAGTACATTGCATATTTTATTTCATAAACTGTGACACCTGAGGAAAAATTTCTGGGTCTCTTAATCTGTACAATGGATTCAGGGAGGATTTTTAGGACATAGAAGCTGATCTGTACAATATTCAAAGTTTCTTAGCACGCTCAGAGGATTCTTGTGAGGATTGAAAGAGATATCCTTTAAATTATCTCTTTTTTATAAACAAATCTGAGATCTTTAAATGTACATTGTTTCTGAGTTTCCTTGGCTTCACTAACTTTGTAATCTGGTGCCCACACGGCATGCTTAGAACAGGTACATGGTGGTGGTGTTGGGTGCTGTCAAGTTGGTTCTGACTCAGCTTAAGGAGTGATAGCTGTTAGTTGTGCTATTATTATGGTTCTGCAGCTATAGTTTGATGTTTCAGTGCAGCAAGTAAGGTACCGAAAAGGATTAGGGAAGTATTGTTAAAGTAGAACAAAATTTATGGTCTTTCCTGTTGACAGAAAATCTGAAAAATATTTGTTACTGATTGGGCAAACCTTTTCATACATTACTGTATGGGAAAGCAGGAAGGAGATCTCCCAATGATACGTAAGAAAATGATGTGGGTAAAAAAGTTTCCTTCGTGTAAAATAGGGTTTATGTG